TACGTGTTTGCGCGTCTTTGGTCCGATCAATAATTCGCTACCCTTAATCAGCTTTATTTTTCACGTTATAACAACTTACTTGCAACAGAAGTTGCAACCAGCTTGCTAATATCAATCCGTTGATGGCGGTCACTTCGTTGTCCACTGAAAAGCAAGGCAAGATTGGCGCAGACCAAGGCATGGTCAGAGTCCAGATAGGTACTCTAAAAGGAGCGGCAGTCTTGTACACAACCGCGCCCGCGGTAGCTGATCGCGATGTGATCAATGTGAGTCCTGGCTTGAGATGCAGAGGGAGAACGCCAGGTGGCACATCGGCGATGACTGTGCCGAAAGTTAGTGCTAGCCAGAAACAGGTTGTGGTCTGTGCAAAGTTGCAGTAGACGGTCTCCGTTATCTGACCTGCGACCAACGAGTCCCCATCGGCCACCTAAACGACTCTCTTCTGTGCCTAGACCCCCGACCTGAGCATTCAAGTCTCCGGCTAGTACCACAATATCTGTCGAACGCACTTTCTGTAGAAGAACAGATAACTGGTGGTAAAACTCATCCTTGATTGCATCCGGGCTGCAATCTGTCGGGGCATAGGCGGAGATGACGAAAAGACATCGTTTCTCACGCCGATTTCTTCTCACTTTGATGGAACTTTCTAATCTAACAGTACATAACCGACTGTTAATGGGGATCCAATCGACTAGTGCTACCTCAGCTCTAGCGCTTATTGTGACACCAACGCCAGCAAGACCAGATAAAGATGCCACAGGGTCGCCGGATAAGCGCACGTAAAACAAGCTTTTTGAAGTGACAGATGTAGAGCGAATTTGTAGTACTTCACCAGAGTCTTGAATACGGGTCTCGGATAGACATCAGACATCGACATGAAGACTTTCCAAAGAGATAGCCAGCCCTATCTGTTGTCCAACCTGCATAAGTGTGCGAACGTTGAAGGCAGCCAGTTTGAATGGCGCACGTGGTTTCAGAAAAACTGCTTCAGTACTCATATTCGGTGGTAACATACAATTTTCAACCGGACAGTGACTCGAGAACGTTTAGATACAGTCGAATTTCCACCAAAGACGAGCCGCTGTATAAGTATAAAAGAGGGTGAATAATGTGGAAAATAATAATAATAATAATAATAATAATTATAATAATAATAATGACAATAATAGTAATAATAATAATAGTATTGATAATGACAATAATTGTAATGATAATAATTTGAATCAATTGATTGTTTTTTGAAGCGAGAAAAGTAATTTCCATAGACATAGAGAGTTCATCATTTGTGTTTGGGCTGTGATCCTGCCCGGGTGCCCAAGCCGAAGCAGGTGGTTATCTTAGGGGGCCACACCCCGAGCCTTTGACCTAAAGGTCTAACCCACAAGGCAGTGGAGCATCGTAAGGAGATGCAATCCCATGGTAGCCGGTGACCAACGATTGGTTCATACGCCATTTGTTCCCGCAGGATACTGGAGCCCATGTGCACCATTGGTTTGGAATCCGGTTAAAGCGCCGGACATTCGCTTTTCGTCCTCTCATTTTCGTAAACAACACCCCCGCCACGAGAAGGCAATGAGTAGGACTTCCCTGGCAGAGGCTGTATACGCGTGGCCGTGTGAGAGTATTTCGAGAGGGAGAGCGGACTCTCCCCACTCTCGGCCGTACCAGGGCATTCGGGGGCATTTCAAAGGAAAAGTGGCTGTTATTACTATTTGGGATGTAGGTACAAAATATGCATACAATATACTCTAGTTTCTACTGACAACATCGCTGATTTTCCTATTTTCATTGTAATTAGACAAGCATTTTCACAAACTATATACTAAAATGTCTAATGATATGAGCTTTGCTCAACCTTTAATTGTGGAATCCAGGTAGTTTGACTATCTCATAGGAAACCGAGTACAGAAGTCTATGTATTCACTAGTATATACATATATAAACTCTGATACGTGGTACTTATGCATAATGTCATAAGAGTTATTTGTCATCAATTTGTCAATTTGTTTCGGATTTTATTCAAGTAAAAGGACTAAATCTTGCTGTAATAAACTAAAGTCCTCTAATGGAGTGGTGACTCTGTAGTTAAAGCACGCTTTATTCAACTAGTAGATTTCCGATTCGAATCCCTCTTTATCTACTTCAGTTTAGCGCAGTCGAACAGTTACTTAAAAAAGTATATGAACTTGTACAAAGAAAATTGATTGGTAATACCTAAACCTATTTCTCGAACCTTAACTTGAGATTAATATGAACTACAGCCTAATACCAACTATATAATCGTCAAAGTATTAGACACGGAAAAAGTATTTTGTCCTAGTTGATTACTCAAAATTAAACACCATTGCCCTCAAAAGGAATCAAGTTTTCTGATCTCTTGAGGACTATAAAATCATTGATCCACTTAACTTAATTCAAGTAACCATCATTCAATGCCATTAATAGTTAATTACCTTACATTAAATTTTACTGGCTTCACTGACTAAAATTCCATCTTGGATATTGTCACTGGTAGCCACCATGCTTTCGTTTAATAAAAGGGTTTTCTAAAAAAATCGTTCCAGTTTGGTCAAGCTAAAAGTGTCACAGCCCTTACACAAACCGTGATTTGAAATATAGAATGCAGATAATTAGCTCCGGAAACTCACAAGCTTTTCGTAACTACAAACAAGATTACTGTGAACTATATCACTGCCCTATTTTATTTTTTTGTCATAATTTTATTATTCACCTTATTCAACTCACCTGAAAGTCCTGACTTGTTTGATCGCTTTCTTAAATTTTCCATCAGCGTTAAATCATAAGGTGTTTTACGTATTTAATGTGATAGTCAGTCAGTCACAACGTAGAATCTGTACGTATGTACATTGGTTCGAGTTTCCATACGCCATTACAACTGAGATGGATTTGTCAGGTCAAATCCTGGAATAGTATAGGTAATAAAAGTATCAGTGGCAAGAGAGAAGATTAAGCATCAAAGATACGACGCGAAAAGAAAATATACCTTAACAAAGTAAAAACAAAAAAACCCTCTGAGGAATTTAGAATCTTAGGATTTAGGGGAATACAAAGAATGGATACACCTGCGCCATTGCAAACAATTTTGAGCCATTCCATTCAAAGTCTCTAACTATTGGTTGCGATAACTACTAATCCCAACCAGGTAGTCTGTACCCATGAAAATAGCTAAGTCCAATTGTCAATGACTTCATGGACAAACGCTATGTTTTGGTTTGACCGCCCCTAGCTTCAACCTGCTCTTGCACCAGAAAACATCGCCCGACCTAATATGATGGATTTCTTGTGTTCCAGTTAACGTCACAGATGAGATGACACTGAGCCACTCATTTGGAACATTTTTTCCTTCAATAATATTAATTGGTTTTCAGACAGTAAACTAATCACTGATAGGAACTTTATTATGATAATCCAATGAGAAGACGTAGTTTATCAGAATTATGTGATATATTTGCGCAATACATTTCGAACAATCTGATCACACATACTTGTTAAGAACATTTATATATGAAAAATTAAAAGGTCAACTAGACAGGTTGAGGGTAAGTCATAACAAAGGAAAAAATATTAAAGTACACAAAAACAAATGTGATTACCACTCTGGACAGTAAATCAGTACTACCAGGGTAGGTTAAGTGTAAGTACAAATTGTTTTTGAACACATAAAGGGGGTTTCCTTTTCTTGACATCCTGATTACTAGGAGAGATGATGGTTCCATCAAACGTGCTACATATAGAAAACCAACATGGACAGGACAATATCTTAATTTTCATAGTCACTGCCCTATTCATTATAAACGTGGTTTAATAAAGAGCTTATTCAATAGAATCAATCGTATTTGTACTAGTGATACTATTGAAGTAGAGATGAAGCTCTTGACTGATGCGTTATTCAATAATGGTTACCCTTTGAAGTTCATAAACCGCTGGAAGGGTTGCAATATGACTAGACCTATGATGCTTCTGGCACCCAAAAAGCGAGTTTATATTACGCTACCATTCAGAGGTGACACAAATAGTCTCATGTTGAAACAGAGACTTAAATTAGCTATCAACCGGACATTTTATGCAGCCCAACTTGTCATTATCGAAAAGACAAGGTCTATGTTTCACCAAAAGCCCAAACAGCATGAAAACGATTGTGTCACATCCCATTGTGTCTAAATTTTCATGTATGTGTGGAAACACGTACGTAGGGAGGAGCAATCGTGATTTGCAATTAAGGGTGGGTGAACATATACCAAAATGGTTGCAAAATCAGATGAATTCCAATGGTGAAATAAGATCACAGGATAGACAGACATCATCATCCATTGCGAAACATTTGATTGAGACGGGTCATAAGGTTGATATCAAATCAGCATTTGTTGTGTTGTACAAAAGCCTTCAAGGACGTATACTAAGGTTTATTGAAGCCTTGGCTATACGAAAATTGAAACCCCCTTTATGTGTTCAAAAACAATTTGTACTTACACTTAACCTACCCTGGTAGTACTGATTTACTGTCCAGAGTGGTAATCACATTTGTTTTTGTGTACTTTAATATTTTTTCCTTTGTTATGACTTACCCTTAACCTGTCTAGTTGACCTTTTAATTTTTCATATATAAATGTTCTTAACAAGTATGTGTGATCAGATTGTTCGAAATGTATTGCGCAAATATATCACATAATTCTGATAAACTACGTCTTCTCATTGCATTATCGAAATTTATCAAAGGGACGAATTGTTTTGAACTTTATTATGTTTATCCACTGAAGACTAATTAAATTCACTACCTGTTCAGTATGATATATATACAAATATGCAAGATATAAGGCGTTTGCTACCAGAATATTCAACAATAAATGATATTTACACAGTGTTGTACGATTCTCTGTTTATGGTTGGAATTCTTTGTTATTTCTTCTGTGATCTTTTAAACTAAGCTAGTAATCTATTTTCTGTTGATATCAGCTGATTTGTTTTTATAACTGTTTCAGGTATGGCCCGAATAATTCGTGTCTTCTATCCAATGGTCTAGATAATGTTGAGAAGAGTCATTCATCTCGTGATTCCTTATTTAAAAGTCAGCGTGACTATGAAAGACATTTAGTTGGGTTTCATCTTCTAAAACATCCTGTATACAAACATCCGGATGTAAAATCTCCGCTTCCAATACCTCCCATTTCTTCCCACTATAATGGTAAATTTGTTTCATCAACTGTAAATGTTATTTCAGGGTTCTTTATTCCTTCTTTGTTTTATTCTCAAAAGATGATTATATTTTTAAAACCACTTCGTCAGATTTACAGTGAAGACCAGTTAATGGGTTTCTAATTAAGAGTAACACAATACGCTCATAACGAAACATACATTCAACTAGACGACCTCCATTTATGAAGTTATCTCAAATATTCTAGCTTTCAGAATACGATTAATTAAATAATGCTGTTTTTATACAATCCAAGGATGATAGTTTCGTACACACAGGAAGCAACTTTCATCTAATAATCCAGCAATCATTAGTTTTTAGTGGATTTTATCTTTTTTCTTATAAACTATTACGTAAACCAGATGTTTGGTTTATAAACATTTCTGTTATGTTTATAATTTGCGTTCAAACTCATGTATATGTAAACCTTTTGCTCATTTCACTTACAAATCTCAATGAGCTGTCTCGTACTTTTTAGATTAATTTGTTCTAATATTTAATATTTCTACAATCAAAATTGTACTTATTTTGGTCAATTTATCGTCCGCTTAGTAATCTCACGTCAGCATATCAATGATTTCTACAAATTTCTAGGCCGTAATCTCACATAAGTTTTACAATAGAATGACTGTATCTTCATAACTTCTCTAGTAAAACCACTAAGTAAAAAGTCATGACAATTTAAATTTACACATTTAAAACTAACCGTGACAGTTCATCAGATATAAGAAATAATAGAAAAATCAACCAACACAGTAAATGATCTTTTGATGTCAAAACAAAGGATATTCATTTTAACCCAGGTACAGATGATAACAGTAAAATTCTCAACGAAATTTTCAGAAAATCTTCAAGAATAAATAAAATAATCAAAGTTTGAATAAATCATGTAGTGATTACCACATCTCACTATCCATCCAATGAGAAGTCACACTTACATTTCTGGAATTACCATGTGTTAGCTTAATTTATCTGTTAGGTTTCACTGAAAACCATATCTAGACTGATGTTAAAACTTTGCACATATTAAAAATCATGTTAGTAACTACCACTGTATATATAATCTGTTTAAAGGGCTAATAGTATAAGCGATCAGTGCGTTGGTGTTTTGACTACTTTAATATGTTTTTTTCTCTCTTATGTACCAGAGAAACCATCACGCAAATGGAGTGTATACCAATCAGTTGTGAATTTACCAGCTGTTTTAAATGATCCAAATTATCGTGAGGTAAATTTTTTAAATGGTTGTTCAAAAAATTGGAATTTGTATTAAGTTCTATTGGTTTTATTGATTTTCCAATCACTCGTGAGAGTTGAATTAAGTACAATTTATGGTGTAATTTTTTCAGGTCACCACTGTTGGTTAATAAGATTTGTCCAGAAAAATGACCGATCGGTATAGTTTATTTCTTTAAGCTTCATAAAATGTGCATCATTTGAAATAATCACAACACAGAAAATATATGCAAAGTATAATGCTAATCAGGAAAAGGGTAACTACTGTCTAAACTAAATTTTAAACGTTTCCAATGCTTTTTCGGAAATGATGAAAAGATTTGTAGCTCATATGAATACTTTCAGTGTTGTGGAGTTGTCTGAGATAGATAGTTTGACTGTGGACCTTTCACTGTCGATCTGAACAACATCAGGGGCTACTTCATTTACAAGTGAGCTTCTTATTTATTCCAGAAGTGTTGAATCAGTTCTTTATGATGGTCTTGTTTGCGACTGGTTATCTCCGTAGGTTTCGTTGTCTTCATTTGTCCATGTATTTTCGTCAGCTGTCTTGTTTCGTCAACCTCTGACCATGCTGTTGATTTAAGTTTATCGTATGGATTGATAGTTCGGATCTGTATCGATGTATCTGTCGACTTCCAATTGACCTGGATCCCATACGTATAAAAACCCACTGGGATTCTGGGAATCCTTTCAATCCTAAATTCCAACATTTTCTAAGTAAAATTCATTTATTCTATTTTAACACATAAACATTGGTACAAGGGGGCACCAAATACATGTACGCCACACAATAACAATGAGACTGAAGAAACAGAGAATGTCAAGTGCGCATAATAAAAAGAAGGATAACGGACAGAAATTAGTGTATGAGAGTGAAATAATAATGGAGGAAACAGTTCAGTTAGGAAAAATACAACCAGAAAGCAGTTGCGTTCATTTTTATGAAGAAATTTAAAGCGGTGCCATCACTGTCTTCTATTCTGAGCCATGTCTGATAAAGTCTCCAGCCACTATGTTGCACGATCTCTATGACGCCAATCATGGAGTCGTGAGGGACCAAGAGAAGCCAGTCCTGTACAGCTTTCTTTCATACCACGACACCATGTCATACACTGACTATCTCGACGCTTTTTCCAACCGGCCCGAGCGTCGGCAAATAATTCACGATGTGGAGGAACAGAGTCCTGTCAGTTTTATGAAAGTACTTTGCACTTGGAAGGTACAAAGCACATGCCATACATACGGAAACTGATTGCCAACTGGCTGAGTGCGGATTGCATGGCTTGGGTATCATCGCACAGTAAGACAATATCATTCTCATACTCCATGTCGAAAAGTCTTTCTCCAGACGATAGATCCGCACCACCATTACCTACATCCACCAGAGCTGTTTCCAGAACGTCATTGATGGCGAAGTTGAGGAGGAATGGTGAGGTTGGGAAACCCTGCTTATCGATATCAGTAGCATACACCACAGCATCACTAATGCCAAGAAGCAGTATGGTAGTTGACCTATGTTAAGTATGACGGTGTTTTAACACTTGTCGGAGGGTGGAGATATGATCAATACATCCTCGATCAGAACAAATGCCATCCTGCTCCTCGCGAGTCAATCTTTCTTGGGTTTTGAACAACCTACGAAATATGACGTAAGTCAATAGTTTGGACGCGATCGGAAGTAGACTTGTCCTCTTTTGGTTTTTGCAGAAACTATGTGAACCCTTCCTAAAGATAGGAACAACTATCGACTCATTGCATGATGTTGAAACACCCTCTAATTGCCAGCCCTTTGTAAACAACTCAGTTATTTTCTTAACCAGAAGGTCGCCACGATCCTTAAAATGGGCCGGAGCAAGTCATATGGGCCTGTTGATTTGTAGCGCTTGAAGAGTTGAAGTTTCTTTATAGACTTCCATCTTGTTGGGTGGGCCAGTCATCAAAGGCCATGGAGAGCAGGACAGTCAGATCGATGTTGTCGGGGCAGCGAACCGGTTGAACTGCTCCTCGAAAAACTCTGCCCATCATCCGAGATGTCGGTAGATTTTAGTGAATGGCATCTTGTCATCTTTACAGGTTGTTTTACTCACTCCAGACTTGTCGCTGCCAGTGACTCGGATGAGTTGAGAGATCTTCCAGCAGTAACCAGATGCAGCTACTGCTCCCAACTCGTTGGCATGCTCCGACCACTAGGCTTCTCGGTCCTTTCGCAAGGTTCGCACGATTTTACCACGTAAAAGTCTTCGTCTGTGGTTAAACTCGTTGTCATTCTGAGTAGACCGATGAACTTCAGTGAGTTGTAAGTAGCCTGAAGAAACACAGTGCCTATAAGCGGGACGTTTCGCGAAGCGTCATGCGACTTTACTCGCCATTCTCATGGTGTCATACAATTGCGACCACTACTCATCCATACATTTCAGTGGGCTGGTAGCTAGCCTTGAACCTAGCTCTGTTTGATATTTCGTTGCAACAGCAGCTGCAACCAATTTGCTGAGATCGATCCGTTTCGGACGATGAATTTGTTGGCCACTGGAATGTGAGGTAAGATTAGCGCAAAGAAGGGCATGATTAGAGTTGAGATAGGTACTCCAAAAAGGAGCAGTAGTCTTGTACACAACCACGGCAGGTGTATGTGATGGCGATGTGATCAATTTGAGTTCAGGTTTGTGATGCAGAGGTAGGATGCTGGGTAGCACATCGGCGATTACTGTGTCAATAGTGCGAGCTAGCCAGAAACAGATTGTAGTCTGCGTACAGTTGCAGTAGGCAGTCATGGCTATCTGACTTATGGCCAACAAGTCCCCATAGGCCATCTAAACGGTTCTCTTTTGTGCCTAGATGCCCGACCTGAGCATTCAGTTCTCCGGCTAGTACTACGGTGTTTATTGAACATACTTTGTGGAGAACATTTGACCAATGGAAAGACTCATCCTTGATTGCATCCGGCCTGCAATCTTCTGGGCTGTAGGCGATAACGAAGCGGCATTATTTGTCAAACTGGTTTCTTTTTAATTTGATGGAACTTTCTATTTTAACAGCACATAATCGATTGTTAATGGGGATGTAACCAATTAGTGTTGCTCCAGGTCTAGTGCTTAGAGCGACACCAACGCCAGCGAAACCAGACGAGAATGCCACAGGGTTCTAGGATAAATGCATGTAAAACAGGCTCTTTAAATCGATATTTGTTTATTTAAACACATAAACATTGATACAAGGAAGCACCAGATAGATATGCGCCACATAAATCATTCGATTAGTGTGAGGGCTGTTATATTACCCGGGTGCCCAAACCGACGCAGGTTTTAAGGCGATAGATGGAGAGAGATTTTGTAGTACTTCACTAGAGTCTTGAATACGGCTCTCGGATAGGAACCTGCCATCGATATTAAGATTTTCTAAAGAAATAGTCAACCCTATTTGTCGTTCGATATGCATTAATGTGCGAGCGTTGAGGTATACCAGTTTGAATTGTACACGTGGTTTCAGAAAGACTGTTTCGGTATTCGTAGTCTGTGGTAGCATTCAGTTTTCTATCAGCCAGTGACTTGAGATTGTTCAGATTAGGACAGGGTTTCTACCATAGGCGGACTGTTGTATAAGTTGAAAAATAAAATACGCGAAATGAGAATAAATGGGAGTACATAAGTGGCTTAGTATAAAGGAAATAAAAAGGAATCTTTTCGTATAATCGTGAATGAGGTTTGTCTGAGCGAGCGTTGAAGCAAGAGAAGTTTTTCCACTAGTAGTTATTATTGATTTATATGAGGGATGTGATACTGCCCATTTTTTATGATGGTGATTCTTGCGGCCGAAAACCATCTGGCACTAAAGTTGGTGCTTCTCTAATCCATTCCCAGTTGTTCTCTGTAATAGTTTACTCTTCGTTGAACAGATCTTGTAAGGTTTTGAACCTGTTGCTGATAGCTCTCTTGTATCCGCTGGTTTTGTAATTATCTCGAAGGAATGCTATATTGAACCTTTGTAATGCTGTTTCTCCAGTTATCCACTGCTTTTTAAGCTTCAGTTTTATCTTGACCACTACCAAGTGGTGATCTGAAGCTATGTCAGCTACTCTCTTTTTTCTCACGTCTTCTATTGAATACTAAACATTTGAGTAATGCAAATTTGATCGATCTGCTTCTCTGTATTGCTATCCTGTAAGACTCATATAGTATTGTGTATGCGTACCTTCAAACCAAATTAACTTTCGAAAAATCAGTTTCTTAGTATCATCATAATTATTAATTGTTTGAACTTAATTATATTATTCATTTCTCTGATGAGCATTTATCACATGATATACATTCTAAACTCCATAAAATGTGTTTTCCACACTATTCGCCTGCTTATATATACTCAACTTGAAATATAACATGAGCAAAGTGGTTTGTGAAAATCTATTTTACTTTCTACTTTATCTAGAAAAAAAAATGAACAAATTCTAATTGCTTACCGTCCTTTTATGTCTAAGTGCATGATTTTCAGAGAGATTTAACAAAAATTACTGGAAACAGTTTGTCTTGAATGAAATTTACTATCTATAAACATAGGTGTTAATCTAAAACTACACGTTCAGTGAGATTAGGCTTTTATTTATTTTCATTGCGTGTAAAGTAAAGATTCTTTTTTCAGTCACTCATTCTTTGCTTTCTTAATCATAAACGATTGAGAATTTGTCAGTTCAAGCTCTCGTATTTCATGGCAGTTAACACAGCTAGGAATGCGACAAAGGTATGCAGTTTGAGATCCTACAGAGGTATTGATACACTTCATTGATGAGCTCCGACTATAGTCTATGTTATGACTTTAAGTTGGGTCGATTTTTACCCTGTGCTAATTGTTGTGTCCTTGACTGGAAAAATTAGAGAGCAGCGTATTTATCGATCGATTCAATGACACGTAAACACGTACGGACGGCCTAGAGTCTCGATTGGTCTCGCTTCCTTGTCTAGCCCAGTCAGTTGAGTCCAGAACACAAGTCACAATCTCTGAGATATGAATCATTGTATTCCAGACATACTCTATTTATATACTAACCAAACATACCACATCGTACCATCAAAATAGAAAACAAGATTTGTACAACATTTAACGGATGAAGTAAATAATGGCCAATAGGAAATGTCCATTTAACGTCCAAGGACATCACTAGGCTTAACATGATAATGATTGGCACATTATTCTGCATCCATAACAGTCTAAAAAATGATATCAATGTTAATCTTAATCTATACGTATTAAAAGTATTTCAGAATGTAAGAATGTAGTTAGCTGATACAAAGTTTGTAATAATGCTGAGCTGAGTCATTAGAGAAAGATAAAGACTCTAGATAAGTATTCTATATGATTGCGAATGTTTATTTATGAAGCTGCCTGTAGTGTAGTTTGTCTTAAAGTGTTAACTCTCCACATACTCACTTTTTTTGTGGTGGACTTATTGACTGCATATTTGACGAATTGGAATTTTTAAGACAGTATATATATACTGTTTATTTGTGCCTTTAAATCTTTAGTTAGATAATTAGTTGTCAGCACATAAAATGATCAATCAAGTCTCGTTTCATGTTGTTGTGTAGTAAATGAAAACTGAGGTTCGATAAACTAATTTATTGTTCTATTCATAAACACATGGTGCCTTTATAAAATATGAAAATCATACATTAAATATGTCATTTTCACATTTCTCTTGAGTTGTCCTTTACATATTTCATCAACTTTCCACTGCTGTTGTTATATATTGTATAGAAGAAATATTTTATTAGTTATCTTTTTTAAATTATACATAATTACGGGTTAATTTATTTCCAATTTTTAAACATATTTGTCATTTTTATTCCATAATTATCAGAAAGATATATTTACAAAATTATGGGGTGATAAATTTGAAAATGCTGAAGTTCTACCCAGTCCACATCTACCAGTAATTACAGAGAAACATTTTATAGAATATTTAAACAAAATTGGGGTTCGTAAACTCGATACAGAGTCTTGTAGATCATCGCCTAATTGTCAAATTAATTCATCTAATTCAATCACTGATATTTCTCTATCAGTGAAATTATGCAATAAAGGTGTGTAATTTTTTGTACAATAAATGTTTCTGATATACTCATTGAAAGTTGTTTAATTACGAATAAATTAAATAAATATTGTCTATTCCTTGTACTTATCAAGGAGTCACGTGTTATTTTATGATTTATTGAGTCAGTTGTGATTCTGTGAATGCTACTATTGTACAACGTATTTACTGTCGAAGTATCAACATGTATTCTCAATCTATTTGAAAATGATTATCGAAACGATGATTATTTACTTTCACAGTGATTGTGCGGCTTGCCACAAATATTTCAAAAGAATATTTATTGTTTATAGCTGTTTATTTTCATTATTGTATGTGCACATAGTTTGTTTCATAAAATAGCTTTAATTATAAGAAGTTTTTGTAATAATAGAAAGTTATTTGTATTTACAAGACTTGAATGTCTCAGTGTTTCAGATAACCCATATCCTTACGCGTCAGAATCGTTGTCAGGACAAGCTTATAGTGGCGATATATGTGTCTACAAAAAAACAACTTAATGTAGACTTACATTAATACAACCAAAGCTCAGAGGTATTGCCGCGAAATTTCAGTCTTTTTTAGTATGAAACAAAAATCTGATTACTTTCAATAGTGGGTTAATAAATAACATTAAACCCATTAAGGGATTAAACTCTACTGTCAACACATTTCTCCGACCGAATTTTTCAAAAGTCAACTTTCGACATTACCTCTACCCTTCTATTTCTTGTGTAAGTGCAAACATCATAGCTGTCATATACTGTGTCGATGAAGCTAATAGATTTAGTAGACCGGATGATATAATTTTTGTGAGAACTTCTCGAGTAGTTACTGTTATGTAATATAATCCTGTAGACTATGGAGTGTTATTTGGAGGTATGCGATAATGTTAGGTTTATTAATAACAAATTGCTTGTCAAGTAACTTGGTTTTTAAACTTTCTTCAACAAATTTCATTTTTTACATAATCGGTATGGGGATTTGTGGAGTTCTTACCGTTGGAATCATGAGTCGATCTAAGCTAGACCACTTGGAAGCACTGGATGACCGTTTCATCATATTATGAGACCTCAGCAGTGTTCATCCACCATACCGCACGTAAGATCAGGTTGCGCAAGATCATGGGTTGGTGGAAGTTAGACATTAACACTGTTGGATACTGACTCAGTGGACTAAACCGAAGGTCCTGGGTTCGAGTCACGCCTGCAGGATGTCCTGTACTAGAACAAAACGGTCATTCAATGCTTCCAGGTTTTCAGCGGTGGTATAGCTTAGATCGACTCGTGATTTAGCTGTAAAAATCCTATATTCTACACAAGTCCTCATACTGATCATAATCATGTATACACCAGTGACTAACATCAAGATGTAACTCATGGGAAGCAGTGACCAGTGGAGTTCAACCCGTGTCGAGTGTGAGTATGTTGTTGACCTCAGTCAATGAATGAAGGGTTGCGTAAGATCAAGGATTGATTACATTAACAATTTTGTTGTTTATACTTTAAAAAATACGAATAAAAATTTTCTGTACATTTTTAGTAATTTGATTTTTCTTATATATATTAGTTTTAAAACATGAACCATCGCATGATATATCAACGACTTCCATTCCCGCTTTATACTTTGATCAAAATTTCAATCTGAAAGATGAAAAGACGTTTTGTCAAGTTATACCTTTACACGTCCGTCGTTCTCACTTTCAAAATGTTCGAAACCCATATGAAAATATCGTTTTCCCATCAAGTAAACCAGATTCTGTAAATATTTCAGATCGATTAAACTATCACAATGAAGAATTCCTGCAAAAAGAAGCTTTCCGCAATCAGCATAATCAATTGGTTAATTATTTGGATATTATTGAGTTAAATATAGTTGAACAGGTAAATATGTATACTCTTATTGTTTTACTAATTCAAATATCATAACCGCCTTCGAAGCGTTGCTCGTCTATGTCGTGGCCATTGAGTTAGCAATGCGTGGTACTAGATAAAGATTAATGAGGTAGTGAATATTCATCGTATACCCATCCACCGACATGCAATTATGGCTGATGTAGGATTGGGTTGAAAGAAAGCTTTGGTTAACCAAACCTAGAAGTGGTATTAACTCCTGAAGACACCGACCGTCGAATTGAGCCGTGTTCGTAGGTCCCACAAATGCCCTGGTAAGGCCGAGAGTGAAGTCAGCTCTCCCTCACGAAATGCTCTCACATGGCCACGTGCATATAACCACTGTCAGGGAAGTCTTACTCACTGCCTTTTCGCGGCGAGGATGTTGTTTACGAAATTGAGAGGACGAAAAGCAAATATCCGGCACTTCAACCGGGTTAGTGAATATGGAGGATCCACCTAAGGGAGTTGGAAAACCCTGATTCCAAACCGATGGTGTACATAGGCTCCAGGATCTTGAGTGAATAAATGGCGTATGAAGCAATTATTGGTTACCGGCTATCATGGGACCGCATCTTCTGACGTTGCTCCACTGCCTTGTGGATTAGACCTTTAGGTCGAAGGCTCTGGGTGTGGCCCCCTAAGAAAACCACCCGGACAGTAACACGGTCCACGCACAAATCAAGTGACTTGTGTGGCGCATATGTATTCGATGCCCCTTTGTACCAATACTTATGTGTTCAAGTAATTATAAAATCTGTACGAGTGTATTTATTGTTCCATTCTTTTAATACTGTATATTGGTTATGAAGGAATATACTAGTATTATTCATTTTATTCTATTCTAATATATAGGTTTCCAGAAAATCTTCAACATTCTTTGAAGCTATCCAGTGTCATGATGTGATACGTGAAGATTTAAGTCAAGCTATTCGTCAAATTAAAGATTTTCGGTTAGTTTATGCAATACATTTCATATCAATGTAAATACTAAAAACAGATAGCAAAATAGTTTCAGAATAAGTTTATTGAAATTATGCAGATCTATAGAACATGATAACATTTTATCTGATCACGCTGAACCTTTCCTTTCCAATTATAATTCTTTATCTATCTTCACAATGAATATTCAAGCTCTCAACAATAACTTTATTTTAAATAAAGTTAAAAACCACTGAAACAGAATGAGATGAATTCATTAATACGTGGTTTCTCATCAGCTGCTTACAACTATATATGTACTGAACTATAACATTGAGGTATGATATAATGTGATAACATTGATAACGGAATGAATTATAACAACAAGGTTTGTCAACAACGACTATATATATCTGTCTAGGATTAGGTATGAGGTCATTTGGACAGTTCGAAAAGCATAAGAGGGCGACAGGTGACACAGTAGTGAAGTCCGAAAATAGACAAGATCCTATCTAGTGTGATAATTATAGAGGTTGTGAAGTGTTTGCTTAAGATGACTGGAATTAGAAATTGATAATTGAAGAGGATTTAAAGAGAAATAAATAAATGAAGGGATGATTTTGGTGTGCATAAAAAAAATTAGTTTAGCCAAGACCATATAATAAAATAAACACTAATAAGATAATCCTAATAATGACAATAACAAAAAATAATAATTTACTACTTCAGCAAACCAGAGAGATGCTGTTTTTTTGTTTGCTAATAATTTTGAAGGATTGTGGAATGCCAATAGTATGCCTGGTATCAATTAAATGCCGAGCTATTGCGCTGTTTGGGACGTTCTCGGAAATGCGAACGTGTACTCTCCTCTCTTTTTTTACAATATATGTGCTTTGACAAGCACATGTAAATTGGCAAATGCGCATGGAGGTAGTAGGAAAATAGGACCTGTCAATTTATGTTAGAGTGAGTGAGAAGTTCATTTCGTCCAACGTCTTCAGTTTGTTGATGGATAAGCAATCTTCATCGTGGCATTTATTCTGTGATTAGTTATTCCATCGACTGTTTTTTCTTAAGGAATCCTTGTGAAGAGAAATTCTTTTGGAAAAAACGGTCGATATTAAATGAGAATATCTTGAACTCCTTCCTTTGCCAATTACTGAATTCAAACAGCCTTTGTTCATGTGTATCAAAAATATACAATTTCAACTCAACAATGTGTTGTACTGGCAAATTGATGAAGTAGCCGTAGCGAATAAGTGAATGATTGCAAACTAATGGAGGAACATCAGAGAATTTGCATTCAGAAAAAATCTCATTATCTACCCCGTCATTTGTCTTACTGTTGAATTATGATACAAAACAAGGTTATTGGTTTCCTTCAAAAATCTAAACGAATCAAGAATAATAATATTTTCTTTATGCTATAAATTCACTGTATTTTGTTGCATTCACTCTTCAGTTTCATACAAACTTGTATGTTTTATTATTTCCAAGCAATAACATTATGTTCACTTTTTGAAAGAAGGAATTATCATTAACGAATACGTTTTTTTAAAATATAAACGAAGTTACGAATTCAATTTTTTACAAGTTTGTGAAGTTGGCTCAAGGAAAGCTTTTAAAAGTCACCGATAAAGTTGAATTCTATCTGATTAAGTTTCGAAGAGGCCATAGCAATTAGGTCTTTCTATTTAAAAGGAGTCGGCCAGTGGTTAACTTTCAACTGACTTGGTAACGGAAGCGGCCTAAACATTGTGACTTCTTTTTTTCTCTCCTTGCAATTAATTATGATCACAATCTGCTGAGCTAAACTCATACACCCTTTTTTTAAACTTAGGAAAATTCTGTTAAATTACACAATAATATATTCCAGAACTACTGTAGTGGACGCTAGTCACAAGATTGCTTGTATATAGCGTGTGGCGGAACGTGGCGTCGAAGTTGCAACAATTAATTGTCAGACGGAGTGAAGAGTTTCAGTACATCGGAAGCACGGGGTTAGCATAACACATGGGGATCAGACGAGTAGACTGTTAAGAACGCGGGATACACCAAAAGATGTAAATGGAAAATTGAAGGCTATGCATATGTATTATATAAATACTTTGTAACTTTCACAATAAATACACATTCCTCCTCTGTATTACTTTTTTACATTATCAATCTAAAAAATTATTTAGCAAAAAACCATTTGAAAAATTTAATTGTTAACGTTTTTAACATTCTACAACGGTCTCTTTGTTGTTAATAGCTTCATTTTTAAGAAATCGAACATTATGTTAAACGATTGGAAATAATTGAACGTTTTAGTTTGGACGTAGCTGAAAGTGTATTTTGCTAATATTGTCGTTCTTGCTTTGTTCAAAGCACATGGCTATATATACTGTTATACATATTTTGTAGCATTCTGTGGTTGGATTTAAGAATGTCTTGCTTATTTTTTTGTACTATACATTTCATCCAGTGATGTGAAGTTAAGGATTTTCTTAAGTTGTATATGTAGGGAGAAATATTTTTCAGCAACTTGTGTATACGTCAGTCGATATTCAGGTAATTTGGTGAGATTCAATGCATCCTTATCAATAAATATTGTACAAATTAACTTCAATTAGATCCAATTGTATGGAAACTCGAAAGTTACGACCGTTAGATGACGATTAACTTAATGTTTTACTGACATGGTGTCTATCTATAACTTATTTTCATATTTTTTCTTTTGTGGAGAATGTTTTTCATGAATAACTGATCTACAAGCTATTTTTCATGCATTTGTCTTCAAATTCTAGACGTAAATTGCATCAAATTAATACATTGACTATAATTGACAAGATGAAATTGTTACGTGTTGTTAGAAGACGGGAAAACTATCGACTGGTTGTTAATAAGGTGAGTTATTCCTTTTTGGTTTCAGAATGTCGTCAGGTAGTATTGTTTAGAGAAGATTAAATATTAATAAAGCAGTTAACTCAAGGTATATTGCTAACTGCTGAAGCGTTAAATAGTTATTTTAAATTATGAATGACAGACATTAGTTAGTTCGTGGCTAGAGACTTCTAGGTGATGTAATTTGGTGTTGACAATAGCGATTCAAAAATCGTTCTAGAAAATCGAATATCATATCTTAGTATTATATTGGTGTTGAAATAAAGCTAGGACGAATATGAATGCAGAATAATACGAATTCATTATATTTAGTGGTTTCTCATCTGCTGCTTACAACCAAATATGTATTAAAATTTTACATTGATGTAAAATATAGTGTGAAACAGTTGACATAAGTGAATGTAAAGAATTGCAATGATAAAGGTTATCGATAATATAATATAACATATATATATATATATATATATATATATATATATATATATATATATATATATATATATATATATATGCAAGAACAGGTCGGTGATCATTTGGTGTGAGAATCAAGAAACATGAGGGGTGGGTGATGTAATAATTGAGTGAAGTTCAGAGACAGACAACATAAATTGTATGATAATTTCAGAGGTAATGAAGGGTTTGTAGAAGATCCCTAGAATTAAAAAAAACTTGTAAGATGAGTTGCGTAGTAATTAAACAAGATTTGATGAGTTCACATAATTTAAGAGAATTGAGTGAGTGGAAATGTATAAGTGAAGGCGTGGTTTTAGATTTCGGTAATGAAAGAGAAATATAACAAACTAAACATTAATAAAATGAAACTAATGACCAAAAAATTGAATTAATAGAGTAGCAATAGGTTTATTGCTGTATCTTTTTGAATACATGGATCAGGTTTGAGTTTTCTTATCGCAATAGCTTCAGCAAACCGAACAGAAATAGTATTTCTTTGTCTGCTAATAATTTTGAAAGCTTGAGGAATGTCAGTAGCTCCAACTGCATTTACCAATTTACATGTACGTGCCAAAGCACATACATTGGAAGAACCGAGAGAAGAGTAAATGTTCGCATTTCCGAGCATGTTCCAAAGAAATCGAGACTGCGAGGGGCGATGGCTCTTAACAGTTCAATAACTCGACATTTACTTGACACCGGACATACCATTCACATTCCTCATGCTTTTAAAATTATTAATACTATCAATTGTTTCACACTATATCTTACCTCAATGTAAAATTTTAATACATATTTGGTTGTAAGCAACAGATAAGAAACCACTAAATTCTGCATTCATGTTTGTTCTGGTGGCTTTATTTAAATTAATAAAGGTAACTAATTGCATGAAATTACATTGGTGTAATGTTTTTCTTTAAAAATCCACTGTCCTATATTTCTCTGTTAATAGTCCACGTTCCTTGTTCTATTCACTTAAGTAGTGAAAAACTAAATTACTAATGATTAGCAAACCAATTCAAAGACAGGATGAATAAAGTGACATATTTTCAAAAGTATTAATAAAAAAGTAGAAAGATTGTAATAATATGTTTGAAGGATCGTTAACAATAGAGTTGATTCAACTCACTACTTTGATTCTATCATTTACTATTTAAAAATAAGATTGTTTTCTTTAGGACAGGAAGTATGATATTAATTTATGTCAGTTTATAACCATCATTATTGCTTTGTTATTTTGTTTAATTATGTATTGACTGTAGTTACACTCTCAACATGTTTATATTTTCTACTATTTGAATGTTTATTGACTTAATTATGACTATTTCTAGTGTTAAAATTAATTATGTTGTGAAGATTTATGGTTCTGTAATTGTAAAAATATCCCATTTTCTACTAGTTTCTCTTACATACTCATTGTGAATAAATTGTGACGTTACTAAAGAGTGAATGTTAAAATAAACGTTCTCTTTTTGTTAAAAAAAAAACGTGTTTGACATTAGTTTCTGAATTGAACCTTCCAAATTAATCTGTCAGCTAAAAACTACTGTAGTAATTTTACAAATATCCTGAAGAAATAAAATCAAGAGTGAAAAATCTACAGGAGAACTATAATTCAATCTGTAATAGTTTGGGTTATCCTGTGGTTTATATTTCGGCTGAATTAAGATCAGTTCAAGTTAACATGTGTGCATCCTGTGCGGATTACTTCGATATAAATATTTTGTCTCGTGCTTTTATGGAACAGAAGGAATTTGTCTGGCAGTAGAGCCCAGGAAGCTCGTTTCGAATCATATGGGGCTCGTCAGTCGTATATATCGCCACCCTAGAGTTCATTTTCACTCTGGGACGCGAACCTAGTACCTTTCCCCTTAAACGCCCAAAGCTTTATTCGCTTAGCTATTCTAAAAAAGAAGAACTAGTTACATGAAGGTTATTTATGGAAAATGAGGATTTAATATTGAATCCTAGGGCATTTAGATTCAACACAACTTCCGATCTTTGCTTCCTTAGAAAACTTTCTCATTTCAATCATACTACTTGCAAGTAGTTTGTTCGAAGTAACTAAACTATATTTGTTTTAAAAATAGGTTTGTTAAGATTTATGGGTCTGCTCGTAGTCAATTTATCAAAACATTTTCGTCATCAGATACATCCTTCTTGTTATTGTAATATAGCATTAATCAGTTCATACAATTTTATTTCATAGTTAAAATTAATCGCGAGTCTTCAAGCTACACAACCTACTATTCAAACTCTATTGAGAAATAATGATTTTTGTGCTGCCCTGGATTTAGTGAGCACTACAAAAGAATTATTACATTCACATTTGATGGTGAACTCAAATTCCAGTGATTTATCATCAGATAATGTGATGGACCAGCCTGGTAATAGAAATTTAACATCTAGGTTGAAGAAGAATTCAACTACATTTCTTTGTCTACGTGATTTTGATGCTCAACTAAGTGGCATTTCTAATTTCGTACATAAAATGGTCGAATCAGAATTTGACATTTCATTGTGTCGATTTTTGGATCCACCCATTGAAGAATATGGTGGATTCCATGACCCAGATGTATGTTTGATGTTCTTTTACCAAGTTGAAATATTTAATGAAGTACATTATTTTTTTGAAAAGCTATTAGTTCCACCCGAATTCATCAAGTCTTCACGACTTTTCTTAACTATTTTTGATTACTCTGTGTGGTTTTTAATTTAGATAATGGTCTACACTGAATTCCGAAGTAATTCAACTCATTTATTAAGTGCAAGTTTACATCCAGATTTAAAATACACATTTTCTGTATGGTTATTTATGATACCCAGGCATCGATATTGAAGTAGTTGGGGCAGGGTTCAAACGTACTGCCTAATGGCTCATGCATGATTGCTCCAACCACAAATCGTCTCAAAGAGTAAATACTAGTTTCTTGATAAATCGGTGTCATTTATTGGTATAAATAATTCACATTATTTACATTTGCTATCAACCAATTGGCCTGCGTCAACACGCATCGACAACTTCACTTATCCTGGAAGTCTGTTCAGCCCTAACGAGTTGGTGTCTGATGAAATCTGTGCACGGATTCACAAAGTTCGTTTGGCTTTTGCCAGCCTACATCACCTATGGCGAAGCTGAGATATCAATCTATAAATATCAATCACGAGTATTCTGCGCGGCGATTCGTTCTGTTTTACTTTACGGCTGCGAAACGGAGACATTAAGAGTAGAAGATACTCGTACGTTACTAGTATTTGATCACAGATGTCTTAGAAATATTGCTCACATGTTCTGGAATCACCGGCTGAGTAATAATGAGTTTAGGCTCAGGGTATTAGGGAATGATGGTAAATCAATTGATGAGGTTGTGTATCTTCATCGACTGAGATGGTTGGACCATGTATTACACATGTCCAACCACCGACTACCACAACGCGTAATGCTGACTAGTGTTGGGGACGGATGGAAGAAAGTTAGGGGCGGCATCAATTCATAAAGTCACTAACTTCTAGTCTGAGCCATGTTGTTAGATGCAGACTACTTGGTTGAGGTCCGTGCGACTATATTTCCAGAACTCTCTGTTCGTACTCTGAATAATTTTTCTTTGTCTGTTCGTATAATTACTTACTAATGAAAACATAAACTTTTTCCAGGGAAATTAGTGTAGAACGCAAACGTATCAAAATTTGTTACAACCACTGAAAACAGAACATCACGCTCTAATGGCTGAAAGATTTTAATCGTTCTAAGTGTTTGCTGAAATTTGAGGTTGAAAATTAGATCTGTCATTTAATAAACTATTATTCTAATTATTTACTTGTTGTCACAACCTCTCTTCATTTAGATGAGACTTCATAAGTTTGACTAGTAGTAGCTTGTCGGTGACTGTTTTGTGCAACATTTTTATTTCAGTTGGTCAGATACATGATTTGTTTTAGTAGCGTATTGAGATGTACCGGAACTCCACTAGTTAGCTTTATGTACAGACATGCTCTAATTATATTTTAATTTGTCATCAAGTTGGGTTATTCAGAATAAGGCAGTTTGTGTTCTGCATTCCTAGAGATGTTTGACGGTAATTAATTTCCGTAACGTTTAAGCTTCTGTGTTTTGGTGGATAACCTTCGGTAATGTACTGAGTAAAAGTAGATTGTTATTCGTAATTGTTCGTTCTTTGCCTCAATATATTGAGTTTATCGTCCTTGTACTTATTCTTTATTCCTAAAATTTGATTATCATTTACTTAATGATAATTTCTTTAGTCTTCCAATTTATTCAACTAAGGAGTACAGTCGTAGAATTTGATGCACACATTCCTAAACCAGCAACTGAATAACATGTATGAATCTCGAATTTATTATTATTGAACGCTTTTGTCGAAATCTAATGAAACCTTCAGAATTCTCAAACCTCTACTCATAAAATTTTTAAACGTTGACAGCAGTTTCGAAAACACGATCAAAAGTAAAATAAATTTTCAACGAAGTAAATGTAATAAAAAACACAGTATTTTAGTAGTGTCACTCATGTACATAATGTAAGCCTCATAAATGAATAAATATAAATCAAACCGTTCATTAGTATGGCATAATACTGAAAGGAAGAGAGGATGGTTAAAAGCTAACAAATAAACGGGTTTACTAATGTTTGATCGTATTCATTTCAGTTTATCTCATGTCTTTCGTCTGGTAATTAGAAATACAATGATGCTTAATTTAGATCAAACCACTCAAGTAATAATTTTTTTCAAAGACAACTTTTTTACACTAAGCCATCCCCTTTAAATAGTTTAAATCATGAACGAGTCTTCACTAGATCACCATTGAAAGTCAGGAAACGCTGGACAGCTGTTTCGTCCCAGTATAGGATTCATTAGTGTGCACCCCTTTCACCTTTAAATCTTCAGCATTATCGTTACATTTTTTATTAGTCATTTCTCTTAATAGTAGATTAATTTTGTGTATAATGATTGGTTATCTATTACTGTTTTACTCATCTCTTTTTTTAATCTTTCACCTTGGCTTACCTACTTACAGATTTTATCGTGTTTTCTTGGTTTAATACGAATTAATCGGTTGGATTTTGTGAGTGGTTTTCATGCAGAAATGCTCAAAAGAGTTAAAGATATATTCTGTCAACATATCACTTCAGTTACACGACCTCCAGGAAATGATAGTGTTACAGAGTAAGTTATTACCTTCTTTTCTTGCTTCCTTCAATATCATAAGGCAAATAAAATCCCAAGTATTTTATTTTACATGGATCAATACTTGTTTAGATTGAGGAAATTAATATTTTGGGATGTTTGTGTACCTTCCCATAATCTCATTAAGGTAGGTATCTTTTATGCACTTCTGAAATTCCAGCCTTATTGAAATTAATAACACTTATTGAGATTGGTACTCGAACTGGATTATTTTACTTATTTTTACCAAGTCATTAACATTGCTCATTACCAAATTAGTATTCTGGCATATTAAGCAGAAAATCATTTATCTTAAATATATTATTCGTCTGCTCGTTCTCCTGTGGCACTCGTTTTAATTTCGAGTATGTGTTAAACTGAACTTGAAATTCATTGTTTAACAGATTCATTGTTACACACTATATGTTTTAATCAAAATGATTGAATGTAACACCAAGTTTCTTGGTTTCTTTATGACAAATTATTCTTTTATAATTTTCCCCCTTTTTAATCAGTTCTTCTACAACAATAGGACCTAATGCAACTAAATTATCTACTTCTGATCAACTGCGTAATATGCCATGTGAAAATTGGATGACGTTTTTAGTTAATTTATGCAATGACATAAAATATTTATTAATTCGTGGACAAGTGAGTGGTTAATTCACAGATATTTTGCTATAATGATTGCATAATTTTCTTGAACTTGTAGACTAATCATGCGAGTAAATTGCCAAAATGGTATGTAAATTTACTGAAATCTCTACTCGAATTTCGTTGATCAAGTCAGAGCTTAAGGAAAATCGTCATTTAAACTGGCTACTTCACATTGCATTCGTCAGCGCTGCTCAGTTTCGTTTAATTTTGGCATAGACATATTTCTAGACGCTAAACACCGCCTATATCAATTTAGAGTACATAGATGGTATATTTATCATAATCAAACAGATTCATAAAATAGATAATCTTTTAAATGCCTTTGGGATATGTTTCTGTTTCTGGGTTACCCATGACTGACCACCATGTACCTTTATTATGTATATTTGAAAAATGCTAATTACTGTCAAACTCTTATAGTATTCATGAAGTCATCGTCTGTTGAGCTGAAATAAGCTGGGGAGTGCAGAATTCCTTGTTAAACTTTCATGAAGTAGAAAAACCACTGGAACTACTTAATGATGACCAAAGATAATATCCAACATAAAATCAACCAAAATGTTATGTTTATTTCCCTCAAACACTGATAATCTCTATTAAATACATAACCATTAGCGTTCTTTTATTCTTTTATCTCTCGTTCTGATTTTCTTTCTGTTGAAATTGTAATAATTTTACTTGGTAAAATTAGTTTTTGTTATTAACCACCAGCAACTATTTTGTATCATGAAATAATTATAAACGTAAAAATAATTTATCACTATTATAATTGACGCTACACACAAGATTGCTTTTAGACAGTAGGTAGTGAACGTGGTCTCAAAGTTGTCACAGTCGTTAGACGGAGTGAAGAGTTTATGTATATCGAAAGCAGGGCGTAGGTAGAACACTTGATGATCAGACGATAATATAGTTCAGATTGCACAGTACACTGGTAGATACAAACGGGTGATCGAATGTTTTGTAATTTCTCTTAGTTAACAATCTTTCTGACTATTGTCTTGTTCTATACTATAAAGTGTTCAGACCTCACATGTGAAAAATTAACGACGAAAGTTGAATAAGAGTAAGTTATGATTATAACGACAATTCAATGTATTCAGTAAATAATTTAATAAAAATAATTGAAGATATCTCTAAGTAATTATTTTATTAGATTATATAATTAGTGCTGTTTTTGACTCATATAACTCAAGCTTTTCATATTGTCTAATACTTTTTATGTTAGACAAAATATCAAGTTATTTCGTTTATATTGTTCTTGACTAGAATTCATTAATTCTTTACTTTCATTTTAAATTAGGACGTTGTGGATATATTCGAAAATAACCTCTGTTCTAATCATCAGTCAAATGAAACGGTTGAAAATAGTACTGTTATTTTGTCTACTCATCAACCTTTAACTACAATCAGTGTGCATAAAGCGAAAGAACTTGCTAAATGTATGCATAAAACTTTATGGAATACAGCTAATATATCCCAGAAACGTTTATGTTCAATTGTTTCATCTCGATTTCGTCTTGGGTCTATTCAATTAATGGAACCAAAGTTGATGACATCAACAGGATTGTCTTCAACTGTTGATTTATCAGTGAATTCACCAAATCTACAACAAAGACATTTGTCTACAACTTCAATAATGGATGTTCCATGTACAACAGTGTTTAGTGAATATGTATTTGATAAATTTACTTGGAGTAATTTTAGAGAACTAGTCAAAATAATGAGTATTTTCCAGGTATGTTTTATTTTTGTCTCTTCATACAGATACAAAAGTAATATATCGAAACGGTAATTTATGCAACAGCATACTTTTTTGCAATTATATCGACTGAAATTTTTCACTTTACGTTTCCTTTAGTGTCTCTTACAAAATATCTGAATTGTAAGTTTGTTGGTCATGCTAGATCCCCAGAAATCACTTGATAAACGTCTCATTTTTGTAATTTTATTTTTGAAATTTGAATTTCTAATTTTCGCGCCAGAAGCGACAACTTTCACCTTCAGTTTGTATTTTCCACTTTGAAAGACCTTAAGTGTCACTGGTTCTTTTCCTCTCCTAATATGTCATTTTGTGACATTTTCCAAGGACATTTTTGTACTGTATATATACGCTTGAGTTGTGTGCTTGTTCATTCGTGCTTCTGACTGCTTGTTGAATAATACTTTTTCCTCATCTGATCCTGGTTTTCTGCCACTTGTCATCGGGACTGGGGCTCAGTGGAGTAGTTTAGCTTTTCCTGTTGTCATGCTGCAGACTTTCGTTTCATTTTCCGGTTTAGGTGATTCGTAATCTCTTCAAACGTAGCAAACATTGCCATTGTTATAACAATAAACGCTTTGATGGCAAACATCCATATCTATAATTCTTTTGATTCTTATATCTTGACCTGATTCCGATTTCTTTCCCGAAACAAATTGTTCAGCGTGAAATATTTGAAACACTTGAATTAATGAATGTAATATCCTAAGATGTTCCGGCTGATGTTATAATCATGTACTAGCAGAAGTTATTGGAATCACATTCTATTCATCATAACTTCTCCAAATAGGATATGAAATATCATCTGGAAGAGGAGCAAGTTTGGAGAACCTCTAAGTGTGTCTACATGTTAATGAAGCCACGATCTGTTGGTCTCTGCTTTGTAAGTGGTATTGGCTTGTTTTCTGACCATATGACCTTTGAAAATTTACGAATAAAGATATGAGAACTTAAGTTTATATGGCTCAAATTCATGCAAGGATGAATTCTTCTTTCATTTTTTTTCTCCCAAGTATTTAACAACTTTCAGTGGTCTACTTTTTGTCAGTTCACTGTTGTCTCCTAGTTTATTCTATTCTCTTGTATGGTATTCCAAAATATGACAGACTAAAAGTGATTCACTTTTGAATAATGTTTCACATTATAATGCCTTTTACGATTGTCTCTTTAATCTAGGTTGTTGGTTCAGATTAGTTTCATACTTAATTCCATAAGTATTTGTTGTCATTTTATTCAATATTGGTAAATCAGAGTTTTCGTATGACTTAGTACGCTTGCTGATCTGTTCCAGTTTACTAGTGTTGGATCATCAAAAAGCTTTATATCTGACAAAGTGGATTATTTAAAAGTGGTTCTTTTTTCTATTATTGTTGCGTTTAATATGATAAAAGGTATTAAATATCTTTCTTAATATCGAAAAGTGTGTCAATGTATCGTTAGTTGTGATCAATGTAACTAATTTATCAAATACTGCCCTATGTATTTTGCTGTTAGCCGCAATGTTTTTGTTAGAGGTTTTTATACTACTCAATTTCCCGAACCGGAGTAGGTGAACAATTGTCATTAAACATAAGCAGTGAAGTTTCTGTTTTTATTTTATTTGAACAAGAAGATTGGGAGTTCTTATTATTATCTGAATGAAAAGTGTTATATAAACTAATTTATAAAATACTTCAACACGTTAAAGTCAATGTTACAGCCTTTTTGTTATTCTTGGAGAACAGTCAAAATGAAAATAATTAATCCAACCTATTAAGATTAAATTAATCGTAAAATGAGTGTTTTTGCATAATGTAATGTTACCATAAATCTGTTAATTTAATAAATTATTGGGTTGACTTTTATTCAATCAATAATTGGAATAGATAACTAAATATATTTAAGCTTTAAACCTGAATTGGGCAATTCTAACAATATATGTAAGTTAATAGCCAACAGATTAAATTATACTTAAAGGAATAAAAAAAACCAAACAAGAGCATAATTATGGTCGGTTTTAAATAATAACTAGGTAGTTAAGTAATGCTCCCAAACGCCCTGGTATGGCCGAGAGCGGGGTGGGTTCGCCCTTCCTCTCGAAATACTCTCACACGGCCGCGCGTATACAGCCTCTGCCAGGGAAGTCCTACTCACTGCCTTCTCGTGGCGGGGGTGTTGTTTACGAAAATGAGTGGACGAAAAGCGAATATCCGGCGCTTTAACCGAATTCCAAACCAATGGTGCATATGGGCACCAGTATCCTGCGGGAACAAATGGCGTATGAACCAATCGTCGGTCACCGGCTACCATGGGACTGCATCTCCTTACGATGCTCCACTGCCTTGTGGGTTAGACCTTTAGGTCGAAAGCTCGGGGTGTGGCCCCCTAAGAGAACCACCTGCTTCGGTCTGGGCACCCGGGCAGTAACGCAGCCCACACGCAATTAATGAACTGAAATTGTGTGGCGCATATATGTTTGGCGCACTCCTGTACCAATATATATGTGTTCAAATAAAATAAAATAAAATAAATTGTTAAGTAAATCAACTTAATGTTGAAATGCTAACCTTCTTGTCAAATATTATCGGGTATTAATGAATGATCTAACAGTATACCACATAAATATGAATACTGTTATTATTCTTTGGTTCTTTTCTTTATTGTTCATTATAAGGTATATGTTCTTCGAGCATGGTTGAAATTTTCTGATATTCCAATTAAAGCAATAATTTGTCATCAATCCAATGATTCAGAAAATTGTTTACAACCGAATGTACATTCTTTTAATAAATCAAAGTCTTGTGTTAAAAAATCAACGATTCCTTTAAATCAAAAAACTTCAAATGATGTTAACCCCTCTTCCATTATTAGTTCTAACACTGATGATTGTATATCTAATAACCAATACACATTTAATATTCAATCCGATTTAATCTTACGTGATCTTGTACTTGATATGATTATACTTATAATTGACCGATTTCATCGTGAAAATTATGATAAAATAAATATGTTATTGGATCAAGAAAGATGGCAAGCAGCTATTTGTCCAGAACAAGTTCAACAAATGATTAATGATATATCCATAGAAGTAGGACATTGTAAAATGAAGGTAATTTAATACAATAATTAATACATTTTTTTGTTTCTTAGTTAAAGTACTTTAGCATACACCATATGGGACAAATCAAATTAATGATGCTAATTTTCTGGTTACCTAACAATTTAATTCTATTTTATTATTGATTTGTTAAATTGTTATTTGGATACTATCAAAGTGTGTAATAACTACCAACTCATTAATATGGTTCGTTTATTTGAATAAAAAACAACATCAGTAGGAGAATGACTGTTTAATGGTAAAACCTACTGCATTGCTGGTTTGAAACCTTATTATTCTTTTTTTCCAGTTTAGACAACTGGTTTGTATTACATTTAAAAGTGTATGAATTACTGCTTAGTAATTAAGATACACTAATTTTATTGTTGTATGGAGAAATTTATTTAGGTTCTTTTTTTATAAGTTTTTTTTTCTGTGCAAAATATTAGCAGTTGGATTATGCACCATAGATTGTTTTATTGCTTTACGTATACAAAGTGTTTACTTTACTGTTTACCTTCATGATTCATTAGTCAACATTATTATCTTTAAACGATTTATTCACGAGTTTACATTTACTTCACTTATTCTGTTTGTTATGATTTCTCACTTCAGTCAGTCAGCTACAACATAGGACCAAGCACAGATATGTATCGGTCCAAGTTGCCACACCTTATGAGCACAACAAGATGAACACCAAATTCATAAAAGTAGCCACTTCAACGGTAGTAATGTATAAAAGAAAGATCGTCTATAAGGATATAGTGCAGGAAGAAAGAATTAGTTCGTAGAAAAAAAGATATAAAGCAGTTTTAATCTCATAGTTTAACGGGAGTGAGTGTATATATCTACGGCGTTGTAGTCGATTCTGAACCATGTCACTAAGAGTCTTCACGATGTGGGCAACTAGGAAGTGATAACCACCCTCATACTTCTAACAGCACTTATGATGTAGTAAAGACGATATTCGGGATTGAATGGAAAAGCTCTTCTTATGAAAACTCAATTTTAGGGAATAAGAGAACTACAGGAAAATTAGATCTTATAAACATGCCTAATATTTAGTTACAATCTTGTATTATTCAGGTCTTATCCTTTGAAAAACTGCTAAACTTGTACGTACACGTACATATAAAATTAATTTGACTTCTCTTTATATTTTTATTGTGTGAACATACTATTTCATGATAAGCTATATATATCAGGTGTTTTGAAGAAAAGATGGACATGTAAGAATACAATTTATGGAAGTAATTCGTTTACTACCTAAAAAATAAATTGTTTTTTCATCTTTCGAATAAGTCAATGTTCTTAGGTTTACGGGAACATCTCACCTGAGGTGGACTGTAATCAGAAGAATCTCCTTATTTATTAGGATATTTGTTTGCAGAAGTACATAAACGATAAGTGGTCATAAAACAACTACAAATCACCAGTACAGGGAATGTGGAGATTATTGAATGTTAGTGAGATTACGGACCGACCAAAGCTGGATAATTGTCAACCTGTTCATTGTTTCCAGGTTTAAAATGAGTTTCTAACTTAATTCGATTTGTCACCTCAGTATACGATGGTTATTGTACGTTAAACGTACATTAAAGTTAATTAATTCAACGACAACAGTCTAATCTCAACACATACAGGCACAAAATTGGATCGTTTCAATATGACTACAGAAAGAAATCGACCAATAAAATCCAAGAATAAACTCAACTTACTCATAAGTAATAAAGTTGTAAAAACAAATTTCACAAGTGTAGCTATTAGCTTACATTCATGCCACATTGTCATACATATACAGTTTAATGTACTCATACTCATCAAAATCTAAACTTGACCGATTGAGCAATCGAAACACTGTGTGGACGATTTGGATTTTATTGACATAAGAAATATTTATGATGAATAGAATGCATTTCACTAATTTCGTTCACTTTATTCATCTGTTTGTGCATCCGATGTTGTCAGAATCACAAATGATATGAAGTCTCCTCATTCAGCAACGGTCAGTTTGACTTACAATCAGTTATCATATTATTTAAAGCCCTCAAGAGAGAAATAATATTGAAATAAATTCGTTAAAAAGAGAATTATGATTTCGATTGGAAAGCAATTGCCATCACGCACAGACATCAATTCGAAAAACCATTTAGTGTTGAACAGCTATTTTATCTTCAGTTGTTCAGTACTTCTAGATCTTCAATGTTTCTTCATCAGATATCAATTTCCAGTGCGAATAACATATGAATTGTAAAAAATTGTCCCAGACTAATAAAAATTTCAAATAATTACGCAAATATGTTTGATTGAAAATAAGCATACGTATAATATCATTTGAGCTGAATGATTTATTCTTTAAAATACACCCTAACGTAAAACACCTATGTGTCTATCTATATAATAATATTTCGGTTTCTTTTCAATGTCACTTTTCAAGTTCTTTCTTTCCAACAAATTGTTTTCATCAACATTTCTGTTCACAGCTGACTAACGAACATTCTCCTTGTACACCGAATCATAATAATTCGATTCAATCAACAGACAGTGTGGTCTCTACACCCAATTATATTTTTCTAAAAAATGAAGAGTATACTGTAGTTCGTACAGTTATACTGTTGTTGCCAATAATTAATGGTTATGTAAAATTAGATGAAAAATTACCTGGTCAACCGTTAACTACTGAATTCATTTCAGATCGTTTAGCCGATCTACTTAATGTAAGTGTTTTCTGTTTCATTCCACACAAATTTTCTAACTTATTTGAGAAGATTAATAATAACAATACTATTACTATTATTATTGTGTTAATGTGTGTAGTGAGTGGATGAACAATTTCCACTGTAATCTTACATTTTTCAATGGTTTCAATCAATCAATGTACGAAATGCTTCTATTTATTTGATTAAGTTGTTAAATATAGTAGTTTCTTATTATCAAATGTACTGCATTGTATTATTTATATCGGACTTCGGTTTTTCTGTGAACAATTTTTTTTAATAGAGTATTTGCATGATTTTATAGTGTCAATCTTAACATAAAATATCTTGAATCAAATTATCGTCATCGTGTAATACGTGTTAACAATTTTCGCCATAACCTAACGTTTTGAACATCTTGATTTGAACTACTGAATTTCAGGTTCGAACTGTAATCATTCTTTATGTGATTTTTAGTCACTGTGTAACTTTTTTAAACGGAAAGTCTATCTTAGCACCATGTAAAAGATGTTTCTTAGGACATCAATAATGCTTGTGGATTAACATCATTTATCTATGAAATAAGTTGTGCGATTATATTTGAATGTGGTCAAGCTAACGAGTTTTCCAATATTTTTGCTTAATCAATTCAAGTAGAATTTTTCGTCGTAATTAGACAACCACTTTGTAAACTTAACAGATTCTCATACTGATAGATAATTTAATTCAAATCTAATTTCCTGAAGAAGTGTTTCATTTATTTTGTTTAGTTAAGCTATTTAGAAACATGAGTGATGTTAGACTGTAAATTAATATCTTCTAACTCCTATTATAAGTAACCCTGGTTAATTTCGTATCTTCGCCTAGTTCAAATCCTGTTATGTAATTTCATTTGTTTTATTGAAATTAATTTATTAGTTGTGTATTGCCTTAGGAGACTGTACATATGACAATCAGGCCAGCAAAGAGAAAAGATTGTAAATAAATGTGTGAGCGTATGTACGAGTTGCGAATTATTGACTGATTAGTACATTTGTAATTAATAAGATAGATGATGAACATTCACACCCTTACATACACATAGGAATCTCCACATAGCTGATCAAACATCTGAGTTATGGTGAAGTAATTAATGTTAATAGAATGATATATCTATTTGATACACTTTATATCTGTCTATAGTAAGACTGATTGTATGTGTATGTGATGATAATAGGTTAACGACAAGATAAATCGATGTTTTTCTGACATACTTCATCCTATCATTTACTGCGTTTTTGAGACTATGAGCAATTGAACAATACGAGAAAAGTGTTGCAGTAGTTTTTCTCGTTATTTCTAAATTTGTAGCGCAACATTCAAAATGTTTGTATGTATGTAGTGAACATGAACTCAAATGAGGAAAACTAATTTATTATTCAATGCAGAATTACACAATGCCCCAGTATGAGAATCATACATTAAATACATTATGTGCACATCTTTGAGTTATCCTCCACATACTCTATTACCCCTCTCATTCTGTCGTTATTTCGATTGCTCTCCGATTTCCTGATAAATAGTAGTAAGCAAAGTGTCTGTCTGTCATCGCACTGTGTCAAATTACAACTTAGTTTCCCTGGCTACACATTTTCCATACATTTATCTGATTTAACTACCTTTTTGCTTTATTTGCTTACTTGTTGTAGCATTTCAATTCCCGTGTTTGTCAACTTGTACTTGGTGCTGAGGCATGTAAACGGGTCGATCTACAACGTATATCTGCTAAGAATCTTGCCTTGACCCTGCGTAGTCTACAATTGGTTGTGCAATTTTTACCATGTATACAATTCTTGTTAAACAGGTAAATTACTGTTGAGTCTTTAAAAGAGATGGATTACTATACTAAAATTCGTTTTTCTGTAGTTTCCTTCCGTTGTATGTTCTTCATATTATTAAGGAAATTCTCCACAAAGTAGCGGTCTGACATATGGAAGGAATTTCGAAAGGTTTTTGAGGTTAAGTTAGTCCAAATGGGAAAAGTGTAGGAAATCATAACTTTCGCTTAATGAAAGCTTTTTAGATTTAGTGTGGCTTACAAGGTTACATAATCTCTGTAACCCCGGTTTTGTAGCTCGAATAACCAAATGATATGAGAACTGAAATTCATGTACAACGTAAACTGCAAAACTTGCAAAAAGTATTATGTGGGATAAGATAACCATCGTTCATGTAAAGTCATCATTAATTGTTAGATAATGACAAAATAAAGAAGATGATATTAGTTTTGAAGGTCTAATATACCAGTAAATTCGGCAATCTATATACCTAATCTCTCAATAGAAAAAAATTCAACAACTCAGTGTTTTGCTATCAGGACAGAAAAACATACACGAGAAATACGTAAAGAATCAACCACACACCTCAAGGTAATAAGCATAGGTTTTAGTCATTTCCAGATACTTTAAAATTGCTTGAGTTTCCCAGGGTTTGTGATTGTGAACTTTTTTCATACCATATATTACTGAATAAACACAATGACAATCTACCAATATTCCTGTTTTACTGAATTATTTATTCTCTACCCCGTCTAATTATCAATATTAAAGATTCCCATTGTGAAAATTAGAACAACACATATGAGCAGACAAACACTAGACGTTTTTCGCTATTACTACTAATCTCACCAGTGATAATACAGTTGAAAACAGGCAAGATATTTATAGAATCGTTCATTATTGGTGCTAAGAGCCACTGTGCAAAAAAGAGACATGGTGATCTATAAAAATCTTGGTTTCAGCTTTATCTAGTTAAATATTTCTCACTGACAAACCATTATTCAACAATTCCATTCAGTTTGAATGATAAACAACTATTATAATTTATTACTTCCATTTTCATATGTGTTGT